GTCTCCTGTTTTCTCGTGCCTGAAATGAGTAGATAACACCTGTGTCCACAGGGATAGGTTTCTGACCTATGCAAGCTGACCCCTCCACTGCCACTGCCACAGCCACCATCTCTAGAGAATGAGAGCCCCACGTTTCCCAGCACACATGTTGCACCACAGAGACTCCCAGAAACCCATGGCTCTTGGTCCTGCTTCAGCTGTACAAATGAGAACTGGAGAGGAGAGCTTCCAGTTTCCTAGAAGGCTCCTCTTAGGAAATATTTTCTCCCCAGCAAGCAAAGCAGTGGGTCAATGATCTTTCATGGCAAAAATTAAAAAATAAAATAAGAGAACTGGCTAGATTCCAAAGCCCCCAAGAGTTGCCAAAACAAACTTGTACCACACCGCTGCCTGGACCTGACGGTCAGGTGGACAAGCACCTCAGTGGTAAGGCTTGGGAAGCCCTGGTAAGGACCAAGCAGAGCAACGAGGCCCTGGAATCAGATGTCCTGTCTTCATCCTGTACTGGCTGGGTGACTTTGAGCAAGTTGCTTAACCTCAGTTTCTCTTCTGTAAGATGGGTATAACAGCATTATACTAGCAAGTCATTATGAGAATCATATGATGGCACACAAAGTCCTTAGAATACTCAAGGACTTTGTCACATAAAGTCCTTAAAAAACTCGAAACAGTCGATATGTGATCGCTGCTACCGTAATTAACCATCAGGAAGTCACCTTTTGGTTTCAGGCATGAATTACAGTTTTCTGCCTTTCACAAACATTTCAAGCCTTTCAAACTGCGGGGAGAAACGAATGAAGAACGAAGAGGAAAAGGTGTACTCAGGAGGTAGAAGCTTTATTATGACATCTTCAAAGGACAATTGAACCAGTAGACATTTACTGAGCACCTGCTGTATGCAAACCCGTGCAGACAGGAAGGTCCAGTGTCCCACCCACGGTTCTCGAATCCCCAGGGAGAAAAATCACATGAGGGTCAAGGGTGTCTTGCGTGGCTGAGAACAGAGTGAGTCTCTGAACACCAAAAGTGCGATTCGCTTTACGGGGCCCAACTCCGAGGCCCCGCCCCGCGTGGGCCCGCTCGGGGCTGGGCGGGTTTCTCCAGCGCCGCGCTGGGCGCTGCGGGCCTCTCAGCAGCCGGAGCAGCAGCCGGAGCCCTGGTTGGAGCGCTGGGACCTCTGGCTGCCGCCCCCGCAGCAGCAGCAGCCGCGCTGCCGGCGGCGCCTCCTCGGGAAGCAGCAGCAGCCGGTGGAGCCGGAGCCGCAGCAGCCGCCGCTGGAGCCGGAGCCGCAGCAGCCGCCGCCGCAGCAGGAGGAGGAGGAGGCGGGCGCCGGGGTGGGCGCCGGGGCGGGGCACGGAGCCGGGCCCTGGGACGACCCCTTGGAAAAGCCTTTGGCGGAAGCGGCGCTCTGCTGAGACGACATCGCGGAGCTCCTCACGACGAACCTGGAAGAAAGACAGCCTTTCAAAGGCGAGCCGGCTTTTCCTTCCACCGGGGGATATCTCTGTCTGGTCAGATTCGGCTTGGTGTAAAAGTCAGCCTGGCCTGGGGCAAGGACGGGGGTGGAGGGAGCACCCAGAAAGAGCGTATGCAAAAAATACAGATCCAAGCGGGTGCTTCCAGGGAGTTAGACACGCTCAGAGCAGGGCACGGTCTATGCAAAATAATCGATACTTTTCCACTTTCTCTGACTAGAAGACGACCGCTCAAGCTCTCCACGGTGGGAAATAGCATCCTGCCGCAGCTTATCTGTGTGATCCAGGCCAACATCTCCACTTGGCTTTTTTCGCCTCTCTCATTTGACTTTGCTACCGACCTTCGATGATGTCTTCCTAGTTGCTAGCATTGTATAAACACCCCGCCAGTTAGAAAGCACCCAAGTTCAACACGCATCCCCACCTGCTGGTTCTAAAGAAGCCACCTGCCAGAAGCATGTCCTGATCATCCTCTCTTGCCTATGCGTCTCACGCCCCACACACACGGAAAAAGAAGAGTTGTGCTAATAGACATAAACCCATCCAGGGAGCCAGAAGACCTGGTATCTAGTCGCAGCTCTTCTACGGACCTGCTGTGTACCCTTGCAAAAGCCGTGTCCTGTATTGCCTTTACGTCCTTATTATTGCCTTGAGAGGTTGGATCACTTGAAGCTTAGGTGCCTTGCAGCGCACCCATTCCATATCTGACTGCTTGCTGCCTTTGTTCTGCTTTCCCCTCCCCTGGGCCCTCAACTCACCCCATCCTCTCCCCAAGACCCTGCTAGGAGACTTACCAGACCTTGGCTCCACTGGAAGACTCACTACGTTCTCCAACTGGAATGAGCCCCTGCTAGGCAATGGATTGAGCAGTGTCCAGCCAGAACCTTTTATATAAAAGAGGGTCAGGTTGGGGCCCTTGGGAGGGGCCCATTTCCCAACAGATATGCTCAGCTGACACTCACATCCCAGAGACATTCATCACTCAGGTAGCACTGTAGGTGGTGCACGTGTGCATCTAAGTCACTTCGCAGAGGTGCCAGGATTGCTATGGCATGTTTACTTTCCAAACAGGGCACCGTTCGTAGCTAGGAGGCTGTGTGTATGCTAACAGAAGGCGTGGGGGCTCAAATGAAGGGAAGTCTGGAACCCCTTCTGCTCTCGTCTGCAATGCACACACACACACACACACACACACACACACACACACACACACACACGGCTCCACTTGCCCACACATCCGTTCCTGTGTGGTCATCTACTTGGTAGGTGGTAGTTCACCTATTTGTTATCCGATTCTCATCTCTCTGGTTCTTGGTCCTTGGCTCCCGAGGCAGACCACAAGCTATGTGATAAGCCTGCTGGATTTCATCCATACCCTTCAAGATACAGTGAGTGAAGATGATAACAGAGATGCATATGTAGGAATCCCAGGGGTGATTTCTCTCTGTCACTGGAGACGGGAAGAAAATCATAGGCAAAGTTAAGGAACCATAAAGCTAGAAAAGTTGTGAGTGTAGTCAGGTTACCATATCCCCATAACGCAGCACGGTATGACTGAGAGAAAAATGCGTGCAGGACAGTGGCCCAATTGCAAAAAAGGCAAGTCAGCCTGTGGGACGTCTGCTTCTTTTCCCACCCCCCAACCACCGATCTCCCTTCGAAGATAGGTTCTCCCAAGGGACACTGCACACTGCAAAAGAAAAGAAAGAAGATGAGAAAGGAAGAAGAAAAGAGGGAGGGAAAGAAGGAAAATGAGAGAAAGTTCTTTCCAAAGGTCCAAAGTGTGCATGATTTATCACTGTTTACAGTGTTTTTAGAATAACTGATTTTTAAAAATTGAAGGACACTCTGGCAGGCAACTTCAGAACTGCTTCTTAATCAAAGCAATCACCCACAACTATGAATGTGAACTCTACTCAAAAGTCCAAGACTAAGAATTCAAGAATTAAGGGTGAGAGACAGGTTTAGGGGTGAGTGAACAGGGAGTGGCACCAAGGAATTAGCAAGGAAAGATAAGTCACAAAAGATACCAGTTTCATCTAACGTGGATTTAGAGCCTGATTAACAGGTTCCCAGTACCTAGGGCACCTGTTGGTGAGTATAGGTGAGACATTCCAAAAAGTGAAGTCAATATTAAAACAGAGAAGGAAGTAATGAAATAACAAGACAGAGGCAGGATCTCCTCTGTGGAAATGGGTAAAGTTTTTTATTTATTTATTTATTTATTTATTTATTTATTTATTTATTTATTTATTTATTTTGAGACGGAGTTTCGCTCTTGTTACCCAGGCTGGAGTGCAATGGTGCAATCTCGGCTCACCGCAACCTCCGCCTCCTGGGTTCAGGCAATTCTCCTGCCTCAGCCTCCCAAGTAGCTGGGACTACAGGCGTGTGCCACCATGCCCAGCTAATTTTTGTATTTTTAGCAGAGACGGGGTTTCACCATGTTGAGCAGGATGGTCTCGATCTCTTGACCTTGTGATCCACCCACCTCAGCTTCCAAAGTGCTGGGATTATAGGCATGAGCCACCACGCCCCACCAAATTTAAAAAAAAAAAAAAAAGTGAAGAATGTTTGGTAGAATCAGTATAAGGAGATGAGTGATCCGGGCAAGTGCCTGCTCATTCTGTGGACATGCTATGATCTCGTAAACTAACTTACTTTATGTATCGTTGTTAACTCTTATCAAAGGAGGCATCAATTGTTTATCTTGTATATAAAAGGCTAATTTGGAATTAACTTTTCAAGTTATCTTTTCTAGGTACTTTATGAGTATATCCTGAAGGAACCAGCCCATTCCTAAAGAAATGTTACTTGGAAAACCAACACAGTGACAAAACCCCCATACTCTTACCACCTCTCACTACACACACACACACACACACACACACACACACACACACACCCCGCAACCATGTAGAGACAGTCTTTGCAGAGGAGGGTGTTCTTTACTCAGACTCAAATCCAGGATTTCAGCACGCAGGGAAAACGCGCTCAGACGTTTCATACCTGCCTCCTAAACTCACTCCTCCAGAAACTATCTTGCCCACCCAGCTCTCCCTCTAGCCAACGGACGGAAACACCTGGACTTAAAATAATCAGAAAAGTAGGGAGTGGCCACGTATTGGAGCCCAGGATGAGCACTTCAGGCAATCTTATTCCCCATGAATAGGGGCTAAGCAATGTTTCAAACCGTGACCCATGCTTGAAGGAAACGCTCTCAGAATGTGACCCTTCTGAGTCCAGCCGTTCTCTTCAGACTCATTCCTGGTCATCCTCATACGGTCTTGTGTCTGGCGTAATGGTCTCAGACTTGACTCTTTCCTTCCAGCTTAAAGTTCCAGAATCCAGAGCATAGAAAGGACTATTTTTTTCCAGAGGCCTAAGTAACTTCACTACCAAAATGCACTTCTTTAAACAAGTGTGTAGAATGTTCACTTGCACCCAAGAGAAGAGAAGGGAAGACGGCTTGGTGCAGCAGGTAGGGGGTGGGAGAGACAAAACAATGTCATCAGGAGGCAGTGATGCCAGGAATCAAAAGCTTTATTGTTACAGAGAAAACAGCTTCGGAACTGAATTTCAACACCTCGTTTGCCAAAGAACTATATCTGAGAGGGAAAACCAGGCCAGAGAATAGCACGGGCTAGACCTCAACCCCACAGTGGAGTGAACACGGGCAGGATAAAGGAGGGAACTCAAAGCATTTCAGATGACCTTCCGTGGGAAACGAGAGAAGAGAAGCCTCGGGCTGACTCAGATCCTCGGCAGCTGGGCTCTGCCAGTGCTGTCCCTCCATGCTCCTCATGGCCCAGGTCAGCAGCAACCCCCAGAGCTGTGGCAGCAGCCGGAGCCTCCAGAGCTATGGCAGCAGCTGGAACCCCCAGACTGCTGGCCACTGCCACTGCCACTGCCACAGCAGCTGGAGCTCTGAGGTCTGCGTCGGAGGGACCGGCGGGGTCTGTGGTGGCTCAGGCAGCAGCCACCGCCCCCAGAGCTGCAGCAGCCACCGCCCCCAGAGCTGCAGCAGCCCCCAGAGCTGGAGCCACAAGAAGAAGGGACTGGAGGTGGGCACGGGGCTGGGCACTGGGGAGGGCATTTTGGGGGGCACTTGGGTGGGCATTTAGGGGTACATTTGGGAGGAGGCTGGCACTGCTGCTGGCTCTGCTGGCAGGACATCTCTGTAGGAGCTGAATAAAGCTGAAAAACAATACAAGCCCAAGGTCACTTCCTTGACTTGAAAATTGAACTATAATTTCAATAGATTTTATCTCTAAGATGACCAGATTTTTATTTTTATTTATTTATTTATTTATTTATTTATTTTTTGAGACTCGCTCTGTTGCCCAGGCTGGAGTGCAGTGATGTGATCTCAGCTCACTGCAACCTCTGCCTCCCGGATTCAAGCGATTCTCCTGCCTCAGCCTCCTTAGTAGCTGGGACTATTCCCAGCTACACACCACCATGCCCAGCTAATTTTTGTACTTTGAGTTTAGACAGGGTTTCACCATGTTGGTCAGGCTGGTCTTGAACTCCTGACCTCATGATCCGCCTGCCTCGGCCTCCCAAAGTGCTGGGATTACAGGTACACGCATAAGCCATGGCACCCGGCCTAAGATGACCAGATTTTTAAAACCCAGTCTCCCAAGACCAGTAACAAGAACTATACAAATGATTTCCACCTAGTAACTCCATCTTTTCAAATGAATTCATTGGAACTTCAGAAAGACATCAGGCCCTCATTCCCTTCACCTACCTTCCACCATCCCCTTCCAGAAGAACCCTCCCTTCCAAAATCCTGTTTTCCCCTTGTCTTTCTTCCAGAATGGCCTCAGCCTCCACACAGGGGCTCCTTCTGCCCAAAACACCAGCACCAAGAGCCCATCCTGGTTCTGAGAAGTACTCTACCTGGGTCAGGTACTGCAGCAGATCACTCAGGAGACAGGTAGACTGAGGCGCTGTCAGAAGCCTCTGCCTTTTATACTCAGTTCCTGACGTAGCATCAGGAGGTGCCGACCGTGTGCGGGATGCTAGAAGCATCTTTCATAAAGGCATGGGTGACTCCCTCCCCTCACATCCCAGGGACCCAGTTCCTCCCTCCATAAGCATCTCAAGTATTAACCCACAGGAAGATCCTCTGAGAACTGCAGGCCTCTGGAATGGTGAGGGAGCTGTGCGGATTGTACATGGCACCTATCTATCTCACAGGCAGCTCTGCTATGCCTTCTCTTTTCTGAGCTGGGCCAGTACGACTCTATACCTCTGGGATGAACATAAGGTCTGTTTTCTCTTTGGTATAGAAACTGAAGAAGTAAATTCCCAAGATGGAAATTAAATGGCCCTTTTTAGAATAAGAATAGAGATCCAAAATAAAATTGTAGACCCAAGCACATGATCTAACAAGATTTTTTTTTTCATTCCTAGATGATGCCATAACCAGAACTATGAATGTGATGTTATTTTAGGCAGATCTGATGCAGATAGTGTGGGTGGTTGGGCTTCTCTCCTTGCCTGAATTTAATGCACCGGAAGAGCTCACAAACAGCAATAACACTGCCTTTAAAAGGGCAGAAGTCGGCCGGGCGCGGTGGCTCAAGCCTGTAATCCCAGCACTTTGGGAGGCCGAGGTGGGTGGATCACAAGGTCAAGAGATCGAGACCAACCTGGTCAACATGGTGAAACCCCGTCTCTACTAAAAATACAAAAAAAAATTAGCTGGGCATGGTGGCGCGTGCCTATAATTCCAGCTACTCAGGAGGCTGAGGCAGGAGAATTGCCTGAACCCAGGAGGCGGAGGTTGCGGTGAGCCGAGATCGCGCCATTGCACTCCAGCCTGGGTAACAAAAGCAAAACTCCGTCTCAAAAAAAAAAAAAAAAAAAAAAGGGCAGAAGTCTAGGAATGGCTTATTTACTTGTGTTAAGGAAGGTGCCCTTGGCCAGCTCGAGGTGAGGTGGCAGAGACAGGTGTATACTGAGGGTGGAGCAAAAGCTCTCGACTCATCTGGAGGTTTCCGGGCGTGGGGCACCAGTTCTGGTCATCCCTATGAGAAGAGCATCTAACCTGGGAAGGATGGGAGAGGTGAAGAGGAGGAGCGTATAGGTTTTAAAAGCCCGTGGTGGAATCCAAAGCTTATTTTCTCAGCAAACAATGTTCTAAGGGAGTCGGGTCCCCAGGATAGTTACCAAAATTTATTCAGCTGGAAAGGGTGGCCAAATATGGCATATTCACAATGAAAACTGCAGTGAGAGAAAATAGGACTGGGAGAAAAAGGCAGTACCTTCGATCCATGCTTGTTGAAATGGGCTGCAGTGAGAAATGTCAGCACACTTGTAACACAGACCCTGGAGAGAGAGATCGGTTCCCACCCTTGCGCTCTTCACCTGTGCAACCTCGCGCAAGTTACTTAACCATCACCGGAAAAGGAGGCTGGAAACATTCCTAACCCACTGAATGAAGAAATACAGACAAAGTTCTTAGCACAGCTCCTAGAACCGTACGTTTTAAAAAGAAAAAAAAACCATCACTATGGATATCCTTACTTCCATGAGAAAATGTATTCTACATTTCAAATTGCTGACCTGCCGTTTTGAAACCAGAACTATTTTTTTATGATACCAGACCTTAGACTTGATGTTTTCTAACAGCAAAATGATAAGAGTATTTACTTGTCACTAGGGAATGAGATTATAAAGAAAGCATACTCATTATTTTAAAACGCCACAAAAAATGGAAGAATTTTTAAATCGCCTATAATTCTCTCTCTAAAATACTGTTAATATTTTGCTATTTTCCTTCCAGTCATTGTTTTTATATGTATAGTTTTTCTGGGCAGGGGGTAGTTTAGTTTTGTCTGTATTTTTCATCATCTTTCTCATAGTACTTAGAAGAGTTTATTTTACTAACTTTTCACCTAACATTTTAATATCAAGATTTCCCCTGGTATTCATTGTTTGGAAGCATTATTTTTGGTAGCCATAAGAACATTTCATGAAGGGCACAGAATCTATAAGTGGTTGGGAGTGTGCGTTCTAGAGCTAGTCTCTGAGTTTGAATCCCAGCTCCCCATTTACCAGTGGTGTGACCTTGAACAAGTGATACGGGCTCTCTACCTCACTTCCTCTCCTGTCAAATGGTGAAGGAAGTGGTGTTTATCTCATGGGTCCATTTGCAGATTAAATGAGTTAACACACATTAAACTCTTGTCATAGTCTCTGGCATACAGTAAGCATTCAATAAATGTTAAAAATGAAAACTGGTGCTGTGTCATTTCTAAATTCCAGCACTCAGGGCAGGCCTAGGTAAAGACCACAGGGTTGGGAGGCAGGTGGGCTCCTGTGGCTACTGAATCTCTATGCATCAGATCTGTCTCTGCCCTCCTGGTGGAGAAGCATGAGCAAGAAGGTAGAACACAGGCTCTGAATTTCTGGAAAGGGAAGTCCAGTAGAAGTTAAAGGAATGACCCATTTAAAACATGAGTTCGGGGAATTCTAAAAGGAGCAGTGTCCATCCCCCCTTACTTATCATTGTTTGGGCACATGACCACCCATCTGACCACATGGTAAGTTCTTTAGTGCAGGAATCCCTAAGGGGTCTAACTGAGTGTATTGGAGGCTGTAGGTGCTCAGTTTTCATTTCCCTGTTCAGTTGAATTTACCGTTAAGCAAGCAAGATGGATGCCTAAAACAAATTCAAACACAGATTTTCATAAACAAATTCTAGACATTTCACGGGATGATAGAATAGATGTGGAGAGGGCCTTCACCATCATTCAGAGCTGGGGGTTCTCAACCCCAGTAAAATCCAGGCTTTGACATTCTTCAGAAGTCCATCAAGTGGTTCTGCTGCATCACTGGGATTGAGAACTGATGATTTAGATCATGCCCCTTGTTTTACAGAAAAGTAATCTGAGACCCAGAGATGGAAGGAAGCTTTCCCTGGATCACATGGAGAGTTGGGGACAGAGCTGGAATATAAGCCCTGCCTTCTGCCCTATCTCTATCATAGCACTCTGCCTCTTGAATCGTATTTTATTTTTTATTGTGATTTTTTTCTAGCAAGATTCATTTTATATAATTGGCTTGTAAAACATGGCTATTGAAGTGAAAATAGTAATAAGTATGGTGAATCACAGCCTGATCCACACATCTGACAAAAATGGAAGTGAACATAAATAACCAGGGATTGAGTACCTGTGTTGGAAAGGCAGTATCTGTCACAGCCAGGGACAGGACAGCTGGCAGACCCCCAATGACCCTCCCCAGGGTGGCACTATCTGGATGACTGTTCCCAGAAATCCAACGCTTAGCCTTAGCATGGCTAAGCTTCTTAGTCCATGCCCAAGATCCTTAGCCCATGCTCCTGAGCTGATCAATCCTGTGGACACTGATTCACTGCACCTAACTCACCAAAGAATATGATGACATCAGTTTACAAAGAGAAACCTGAGTATCAATGTTGTCAGATACACTGTCTTCCTGTAGGAAAACTCCTGGAAGATGATGTCATAATCTGCTGGCACTTGGTGAGCATGAGATTGCATAACAACCTCAGGTTTTGATGGTGAGCAAAACTAGACATGCCCATCAGGTCATCTGAACACCTCCAGCCCTGGACAGATTTGGGAGCCCTGCAAACCTTCATCCCTGACTGCCCTTTGTTTCTCTGTACTGTACTGTGGCCTGGGAACTGCCTCCATGAGGGGCTTTGCACAGTGATGCTCTCACCCACTACAGGCTGATTCTGGAGTTTAACACTGGAAAGGGAATTTTTCTAGTTGTCTTATTTCCCCTGCTCACTGTTGCCCTGATGTAAAGCCTGAATAGTGTCTATACACTATAAAGCCCACCCTCCCGTGCGTAGATGTCCACATTCCAATCCCCAGAACCTGTGACTAGATCACCATACACAGCAAAAGGAACTTTGAAGATGGGATTAAGTCAAGGACCTTGAAGCAGGGAAGTTTTCCTGGATTATGCAGGTGGGCTCACTGTAACCACAAAGGTCCTTATAAGAGGGAGGCAAGAGAGTCAATGTCAGAGAGGGGAGATATGTCAGCAGAAGCAGATGTTGGAGTGAGGCATTTTGAAAATGAATGAAGGGGCCAGAAGCCAAGGAATGTGAGCAGCCTCTAGCAGGTGGGAAAGGCAAGGAAATGAATTTTCCCCTTGAGCCTCCAGAAGAAGTACAACCCTGTCAACAGCCTGATATTAGCCAAGTGAGACCTATGTCGATCTGACCTGCGGAACTACAAGGTAATACCTGTGTGTTGTTTAAGCTACTAAATTTGCAGTAATTTGTTACAGTAGTAACAGAAACCAACCAAGAGGATCCTCGATGCCTCTGAGGCTCATAGGACAACATTGGGCCAAGGGAAGCTCAGTGAGAAGGTGACAGAGAAAACTCTCACAGACAAAGTGCTGTCTGGCTTGTTCCAGCTCTAGCGCTTGCTAGCTATGTGACCCCTCAGAGCTGTTTCCTCAGCCACCAAATAAAGATAATAACAGTGCTCATGGCCGTGCCTGTTGCATGAGAACTCCATGGAATAATGCCGGCAAAGCCCTTTGCCCTAAACCTGGCATGTAAGAAGCGCTGAGTAATTTTTAGCCTTTCTTATTCTGGTCATTATTAGTCTCGTCCTCACCACCATCAGTGAAAACAGAGATATCATGATGGTTGCCAGGGCATTCCTGGGGTCTTCCGCTGGATTTAAAGCTCCCGGCTACTTATTTCCTGAACTGGAGCTTGAAAAATTCCAGAGTAGGCTGGACAACTGGCTGTCACTTTGGGCTGCTTTGAATTTTTAAGATACGACTTGCACCTCTTCTTAGGAAGATGGGGGCGTCTTATTCTTTCTCCTCTGGAGGACATTGGACCACTTGTGAGGTGTTTAGCATTTCTTCCTTTATGGGAATCTTTACAACGAGCCAGTTTGGTAGAGCAGAGGGTT